TAAAATTGGCCACAACTTTATTGATTACAGCTGTTATAGGCATTGGCACAGCATGGGTCCACCGGATCCGACCTGTCGGCTGACCCTTCTGCCAGCCGAGGTATCCGTTACCCAGCCAGCCGGCATGGGTAGAGACTGCGGGATGGCAGGTTGCCGGGGTTCACCTGGACGCCTGCCCCTGTGTGAACTCCCCTGCCACCTGGCGGTGAGGGCTATCGCTGTTAGTCCTTGCGCTTGCCTGCTCCCTTCAGCCCTCATGCCAAGACCCTTACAGGGGTCCCCACTTCCGGAAAATGGCACACAGGCCGATTTCCGCCAAATGGATCCGGACCCATGTACCTGGTTGCTGTCCTCCGCTCCCTCGCCTGGGCAGCTCCCCATCGCCTAACCAGCAAGCAGCCCCAGCTGCTGATGGGACAGGGTGAAGAAGGCGAGTGGTCTGGGTCACATATACTCAGGCCTCTCCTTCCGGCCAACCCGCTGCCTGGTGATTGGCCCGGGGAGGGAGGGGAGGCGCCTCCCTTCCCGCCACTCACCTGGCCCCACCCCCCAACCCGACGACTGGCCAGCTGCTTCCCCCCCGCCCCCGCAAATGGCGGGCCTCGCCTACCCGGGCCCTTTCTGCTTTTGCTAGAGACACCAGCTATGTGATTTCCTACATGTAAGATGACTGCCATCTTTAGGGTAACTATTTTAGCTGTAATTACGATGGTGTGTTGTATATTTTGATAGTCCACTTTATTCTAAATACAGAGGGCACAATCATTGCCTGTGCAGAAAAACAGAAAACAGAAAAAGACTGCAACTTGACTGTCACCAGACAGAGATCCAAGGAGAAGGCTGTCTGAAAAACATAGCTGGTTCATGAGAGTACACTGGATGAAGTTTGAGAGATAAAAGGGCAGTCTTGTAGCCTGAAAACTTTGGGGGGGGGGCTGGGGAAGGAAAGAGAGAGAGAGAGAGAGAAGCCCCCCCCCCATGGTAGCAGGGAGGCTGGGGAAGAAAACAAGTTGTCCTGCTGTTTCTGGTCAGTTTCACTCCCCACCAATCAGCTGTTAGTTTAGCTTTTCAGGCGCAGCTGTTTATGTTCATTCGTGGTGGGGTTCCACCCCCAAATGCCCCACCGTGGCTACAGTGCTGTATAAGGATCTTAGGCTGTAAATGACTTTAAATATGTTTATTTTAGTTATTTCATTTATACATCACCTTCTTCCCACCACAGGCCTATACCAGTAAACATTGCTCTCCTCACCTCCATTTTATCTTCACAACAACCGCATGAAATAGGTTATGCTGAGAGTGTGTAGCTGGCCCATACTAAATAACAACTTAATAAAAATACTGACCAATGACTTGAAACTTCTAGTTATACTTGAATGCAATTTGCAACATTTTCCTATCATACAAGAAGTTGAGTATGTTGCATAATAACTCAACTTACTATTTAGTAAAACAAGTGGCAACCTGCAATACTCAGAGGCAGGATCAATCTCTCTCCTCTTAACTTACCACCCTCATTGCTACAGGGCCGATGTGGCTCTTGGCCACTCCCCCACCATTGCCTATGGGTCCAGTGCGGCTCCCAGTCTCTGCCTCTGAACTTGCCACAATTTCTTCTGCTCCTCATCCCTGCTGCTATCCCCAAGGGCACCACAGCTCTCCACAACACCCCACAATGAGTGAAATTAGCAATGGGTCCGGTGTGTCTCCTAGTCTCACCACTGAGCCTGCCGTAGCTTCTTCTTCTCCCCCATTCCTGATGTCATCCCCAAGGCCACCGTGGGTCAAGCCCCCCCCCCATTGCCAACAGCTCCAGTAGGCCCAGCACAGCTCCTGGGTTCACCACCAGGCCCACCACAGCTTCTCTTCATTACTGCTGCCGCCGCCTGTCCACCCCCCACCATCTTCACAAACCTCATTGGGGTCAGCACACCTCCACCCTCCACTGCCAGTCTCACTGTAGTGCCCCTATTGCTGCAACTGTTGCTAGGGCAGCTGTAGCTCCCATGTACACCCACCACTATTGCTGCCACTTCCACCGATGCATGGAAGAATTATGTGTGTTATCTGCACATGTGCAGACAAAGGTATTGTTTGGGGGAGTATTTGAAACCCCCAGTGTATTATTTTAGTTTCAGATTTTTCTGTAACCTTCGGGGTTCCCCCAAGTTTGCAGAAGTATTTGTTTTCTATGTAGCCCCAATCTGCAAATTTAGATATCTGCAGATGGCATCACACTTTGCTATTAGAATATACAAGAGGGGGACCCGCGATACTCGCGGGGGGGGGAGAAAAGCCCCATCTCCTCCACCCCCCCACCCCTCGATCTCCCTGAGGCGGCGGCGGCAGCGGCAAGGCCGGTGTCTGCCCCCCGTTCTTGACCCCGGCATACATCGAGACGCAGGCATCTGTCTGGCAGAAGAGGCCGCTTTGTGTTACAGCACACAGTCCCGCAGGGCCTTCAAGACTAGCATCTACTGGGGCAGAAGCTTTTGTGAGTCAGAGCCCGCATCATCAGATGCACGGAGCATTATCTTCCGTTGGCAGGCACAATGAGTACAAATAAAGAAGGAGGGTAGAGAAGTTATTAGAAGGACATGCCAGAAGATCAAAAACACAAGAGATAGACAGCTGACATTACGTTGCAGCGCATGGATGATACCAAAGCCCGCCCTACCCGGCCGGCCTGTCGGCTCCGGGGAGGAGGCGGCAGCAGCGGCAGGCCCTACCTACCTAAGCGGCCGGCCGCCCCCCCTCCCCACCCACCCGGCGTCAGCGTTCGCAGAGCGTCTCCTGCGCACGCGCTGGAGTTGCTCTTGCACTTTCGGGGGGATTTTACCATCCCCCTGAATTTTTTTTAACTTTTTTTATTTTTGTGCACACGTGGGGACTGGCCCACGTGTACACAAACCTCCCCCAGCCCCCCAGCTGCCCCCTCCGTGCTGATTTAAGTATCCGCACGGAGGGGGCAAGTTGGGAATTAGATATATAGATGATATACTCTGAAAAATGACTGGAGCAGGCAGCTGCTAAGAAGATATTTGTAATCTACCTTTAAAATCACCAGCCCACAGATAGTTGTAAAATTAAATTGTATTGTCCTACTTTCTAATTTCCTCTGATAGACAGTTATGCATTCTAGCATCAGGGGGAAAATATTCTTGAAATTCTTCTGCTGTGAAATTCCATCATGTGGCATTGCCAAAAGAGCTCTGAAATATTTTTTGTTCCTTAACCTCTCCAGCATGACCCACAACAACAATTTTAGCCCCAAACTCTGGAAAATTTAAATCTACAGTCAATCAAAGAAATTGCAAATAAAAGGTCAAGGAAGTTAGTTTTGTAGCTCAAGTTTCAACTTGTACGACTGGAAACTTAAAAGAGGTGTATAATAATGTGTTCTTGTTGATTACAGCTAACACATTGCATCTGCTAGAACAAAACACCACCACAGAATTCACTCCCAGGTCAAGTTTATTTACTTTGCAATTAACTGAGTCAGATGGAAAACTCCTAACATATTTTCATCTCCTTTAGAATTTCAGCTAGCTTCAGAATAATAAAAGACCCCTTGTCTCAATTCACATTGTGGAACTACAATTACTTCAGACTTCTTTTTATAATCCCGGCATGGCCGTAAAAGCAATTTCTTATGCTTTATACATTTTTAACTTTATTAAAAATCTAATCTGGTTCACATTGCCCTTTATAGGTGTATCTTTCTTCAGAAAATTCTCCTTCAAAGTGCTGCGGTACAATTCATAATAATAAAAGCAATCCCTACCTATTGCTTTTATTCTGAAGTAGTAATGGGGGAGTTTTTCTACACATAGTTAAGAATCATTCTATATACAACGAACTGTACCACAAAGTATGAGAATTTCTCCTCCATTGTGTGTTTATACAAAAACAAAGATCTTCTAAAGGTTTAGCCTGCTATATTTGATTGTTAACCCAGAGGACATGAAGTTTGCCTTGTACCGAATTAAAAATGGGAGGACTGCAGTATTTTTGAAGCTTACAAAATCAAATCTGAAGGTCTCCTCTTCCGGGACTTACAGATCTTTAAATTTTATATTTTATTACACTGGAAAAGCAAACCATGTCTAGGAGATGAGCAGATTTTTTTTATTGCCTTCAGTGCTCATAAATGCAATCCACCACCTACATTCACATTTCTCTTATGTGTTGCAATTTAATAAAATATTTTGCAACAATCCCTGTTCCAAAAACTTTCTGGAAAAGAAGTTGTCGAAGGGTAGTACTGTTCAGGAGTGGCCAACAGATCTATTCCTTTGATGAAAGGGTGACTTTTTCATACAATTCCATACTATCAACTCGGGTGGGGGGGGGATCTCATGATACCAGTGAAAGTTGTCCTGACTTTTACACCATTATATTTTGCTGTGTTTCATAAAAGTTTTCAGAATGAAAATACAACTCATGTAGTTTTCAATTTCAAAAATTCATGAAACACAAGGGAAGAAAGTAAACTGTAAATCTCTTTTTATTGTTAATAAAAATTATAGATTTTTTGACATTATATTCAATAGACAACATCAAAACTAAAAAAGCCCAATATTGTTAGCACCACAAAGAGACTGATGCTAGAGAAGATGAATTTCCTAATGAAGAGTAACATCCCTTATACCCTTTAAAAAGTTCACTGTCAAATAACAATCATAAGTCCACAACCTTCAGGGATACACTGCTACTTATATGCTACAGCACATTAATTCTTCCAACTAAAATCTGGTGATGATAACTAGAAAGATCCACAAACCTGAATCTGTTGTTGTTTTTAAATCATAGTGTGCTTGAGACCGGCTAAACATTAAAAATTATTTCCATATTTAAATTTATATTTTGTTTCTGTTTCCTTTTATCAACCATTATGGCTATTATAGTCAACTTGTGATTAGGAGGAAAACTGCCAAGACCATCTCCCTCCACATTCCCACATAATTATAAAATAATTTTGTAATTAATGGCTTTCCTACCAAAATCTGCCAGCTTCAACTCCCCAGTGTCACTGATCAGAAGGTTTTGGGGCTTCAGGTCCCTGTGCAAAATGTAACGCTGGTGGATGTAGGACAGTCCTCGCAGCAATTGAAATAAAAACAACTGAAAAAGAAGGAGGGGAAAAAAACACATTTATCTTGATTAATACTTGGATGGATTTAACTGGTTTCCTATACAGTCATCAGGATGCCTGCACTTGGGGAGACCAGCTGCTTGAAACTTCTCTGCAGTTACATTTTTCATATCAAAATGTATTCTTAAATAACCTTGAGTAAGAAGGAATAAGAAAACACTTGTCACAGGAGTACAAGGTCTAAATCACAATTCTCACAGCATTTACCTGTTTTAATAATCCACAAAGATAACTACAAATAGAAGAGTGGATTTGTTTCAGCCACAATTACAGTTTGTTTACCATATGGCCTTAGAGATTAGGTGGTAGCCTGAAGACAGATGTGTATCTTCAATAATGATAGGAAACAACAGCATGTGGAGAGGACAGGACCACAGGAACAGATGATGAAAATATGAAGGGATATATGCACAGTAAAAAAAAATCCAAAGCATTTTAATTCCAAATATTTTACATAAGAAAATTAAAGTATGTCCTCACAATGTGACTACAAGTGATATTTTAATCCATTTACAAAGCTTTCTAAGACCAGTTGATTATTTGATACCTTCTTAAATCTCTAGCATCTGGAAATTAACTTTACAATTTATATCAATGTGTCCAATTCTTAACATGGCCCTCTCTATAGATACTTAAATCTGGAGACTAGGGCCATGAACGGACAGGACAGATGTTTATACAAACCTGTGGGAAAAACCAGATTTGCAGAAAAATCTGAAATTAAAAAAAATGGTTAACACTGCCCCCCAAAAGAGACAGTGTCTGTTGTTTTAGGAAGCACATGCCCTCAGTGGCCATTACTAAATTTTTGCCAGGCTTCAAAGCCTTGGTTTCTCTCAATAAAAGACAGACAGAAGAGGCCAATCCCTTTCCAGGTTTGGCCTTTGTATGAGAGCTCTTTTAGGACCAAGCCTGGCAGCAGCTACTACACAAATTGCTACCATCCCACTTGCATTACTCACCAAAGACTGGTTACTTGCTGCTATTGAACAGCCACAACCTCACAAAGCCCACTGTTGAGTAGCAGTTAGAGTTTTAGATTGGGATCTGAGAGTCTGAACCCCCAACTGTGCATGGAAGATCACTAGGTGACCTTGGATTAATCACACACACACAGCCTAATCAACCTCACAGGGTTCTTGTGAACATAAGATGGAGGAGAGGAGAATGATATAAGCCTCTTTGAGTCCCTATTATGAAGAAAGACAGAAGCAAATAAATAATAAAAGGTAGTTTGGTGGATGGTGGAAAGAAAAGGAAGCAGGGAAAGTGAGGATATGAAGGCTACCAGGAGGAGGAAAAAAAGAAATAATGGTAGGGGTATACAGGGGAAAGTGAGGGGTTCCCCACAAGTCCTTGTGGGTTCCCTATTGCACAACTTTTTATTGTTAATTTATTTTTATATTTATATCTAGCCCCTCTTGAGATGGTTGTATTTAAAAAATACAACAGAACCATAAGGTGCATCATTAAAACAGTTAAATCTTGACATTCTCCTGGTACCTAGAAAAGATTAAAAAAGGAAAATGTCTGGCAAACCAATTACAGCTGAAAATAAAAGGATTAACTAAAGGCCTGCTTGAACAATTCCATCTTACATGCCCTGTGAAATCTTGAAAGGTTCTGCAGTGTGTCTCCTCTGATAAAGCATTCCTCCAAGATGGGGCTATGATTGAAAAAACCCTTGCCCTGGTGGAAGTAAGTTGGAAGCCGAGCAGCTACCACCACACAACTGTGGCCGGCATACCTTGGCAGCCAGAACAATGTTGAATTATCTCATGGAAAGTCTGCCAGGGTGAGGGAAGAAGGAAAAGCTGAAGGAGGGTCAGGTAAAAGTAGGCTGGATGATGGGCAGGAAGGTCAGAAGGAAGCAGGAAAAGGAGAAAGACTATAGGGTCTTTCAGGAAAAGGAAAGAGGAAATAGTGGGGGAAAGGAAAATGAAATAACCGCTGCAAGCTCCTGTGGTTCCCCTACTTGTTTTATTATAATTTCAAGGTGATTATGAAACAACCTTGTCAAAAAAGTATGTGCGATATTAATCTTGCGGATCAGAAAAATGCTATTGTTGCTCACTGTTGATTTTAGAAGACTGCTTTGCTTGTCAGGTATTAAGGTATCTAGCATGAGATATTTTATAAACATACAGTTTTAAGATTATTATTAAATGGCAGTAGTACAGTTGTAAGTTAAAGTACAGCAAAAATATTAGAAGAAACTATATAAAATTATACCTTCCCATTCATTTCCTAGATTCAACACAATAAATATTTGCTATTTAGCTATTAACCCAGCATTTGTATGAAACCGTGAAAGGTGATCATGGGAAGGAACAGAATTACATGAAAAGTACAAAAATGTCATATGACTGAAGACGTAAGAATGTAATTACATTTCCTTTTGCCTCCACGTGCACATATAATATGGCATGAGGTACTTGGACTTTACCAAAAAACAAACAGCAATAAAAAACGTTATTCTGAGTTTTGAGTTTAACAATATGAAAGGAAATAAGGAAATTGTAGGCATAGATAAGAAATCCATTCAGATGTCTTTTTTTACACTTACAAATGAACTGGAATAGGACCCCAAACTGGATATTGTAAATCTTTAGATTTAAATCACAAATGACAGAACGTTTTTTAACCAGTAACTAAACCTTCCAGACAAGGAATAGGGAACAGAGAACCTGTCAATTCTGTGTAAGAAAGCTTCCTTTTACCTAGCCACAGCAACTTCTCTGAAAGAAATGCACCAATAAGACTTGGTCTACACAGTAAAACTTACTGCATTCCTGGCTAGTGATAGGATGTCTGGCAAAAGTACTTGCCATGGTTGCTAGGTGCCCCCTGGCCACTGGTGGGGATGAGTGGGAATTGCCAAATCTAGGTTGGGAAACTCCTGGAGATTCAGGGTTGGAGCCTGGGGAGGACAGGACCTCTGTGGGGTACAATGTCATAGATTCCACCCTCCAAAGCAGTTGTTTTCTTCACGGGAACTGATCTCTGTACTCTGGAGATGAGGTGGAATTCTGGGGGATCCCCAGGTCCCCTAGTACTTGCCAAGACTACTGATTGTTGCAAAGGATGATACGTGTTGTGTGATGCTAAGGATTATATCTCCACTGCAGTGTTCCCTCTAAGCTGAGTTAATGTGAGCTAGCTCACAGTTTTTTAGCCTCCAACTCACAAATTTTTGTCTTAGCTCAGGAAGGATGGCCCCAGAGCAAACTAATTTATTCAGTAACCAAATCGCTTGCTCACAACTTTAATTTCAGTAGCTCACAAATTAGACTTTTTGCTTACAAGACTCCAAAGCTTAGAGGGAGCATTGTTCCACTGTAATGTGTCTCCCTCCCCAGTTTCTTTCAGGGCTCTGTAGGTTTCATGTCCCAGGAATCACAGCTATCTAAAGAAGGTATAGAAGTTATTGTTTTGAAAGGGAACCACAGACTCAGATACAAAAAGCCTTGTTATCAGGAACACTATGCAAACGTTCTAATTGTCCCAGGCTAATCATCAGTGAATTCTTGATGTGGATTCCTGAAGTGGTAAGCTAACAACTCAAAAGGGCAAATGCATGTAAGAATGTGTATAAATGAAAATGTGTCACATGGAACAGAAGTCTCACTGTGATGACTGTATAGATCTAAGACCTAAGTTCCGGCATGCCCTGGAAAGAGCAAGAAGTTGTGTCTGCAGGGGCAAGACGCTGTAGATATATTGCTGATGCACAGCAAAGTTCAACATTTAAAAGACTTGAAGCATTAGAACTGTATGAAACCTAGAATTTTAAGAAAACTGTCACGCTAGGAGTCGTCCCCTGTTGCGGGAGGAGCTTGCCCTGCAGGAGTCGTCCCCTGTTGCGGCGGTGGTCCCTCAGGAGAAGCCAGAGCCTCAGACTTGAAGTGGGGAGGGAGTTGCGTCACTCCCTTTCCACCACTCCTCGGGGTTGACAGCTGTCTCAGATCCTCGTTCTCTCTCTGTACCTAAGCCCGTCACCTCCGACATCCTCCTCGGCTCTATTGGCTTCTCCCTTTTTATATCCCTCCACCCTGGGCAAGCCCTCCCCTTTCCTTCCCTGGCTCCTGAGAGGGTGGTTTCCCTGTCACTTCCCCCCCTATTGGATGGAAGTCTTTCTGTCCCACCCCCCTGACTGGTCTACCTGAGCGTCCCCGAGGGCGGGGCTGTTTCCGGGAAATCCCGGGGCTCCGCGTGCGCCCGAACGATCGCATTGGCTCCTGTCTGTTCGGGTAAGCCCCATCTCCCCCGGCCCTCCTTTACACGCACCCGCCCCCCTGTTCTCCGGGCTTCCTGAGCCTTTCTCCTGCGTGACGTCCATCTCTACCCCTTCGGAACTGCTCTCCAAGGGGTCTTCGCCCTCCGGGGCTCATAGAGACCTTGGCGTGGGACAAAAACATTTCTTCTAAAATCCTGAAAACACAGGTCTCAAGAGATGTAGCAGGCCAAAAATGCTACATTTTTAAAAGACTAAGAAATGGAACATTCCATTCTCCTGAACACTTATTGCTAAATCTCTCTCTAGCACAAATAAAATGTAATGTTACATTAAGTACACTACAGAACATAGAAGTGTCATGGTATAAATTCTAACAACACTGTACTGTACTATTTTGATCACTTTACATTTTACTACATGCAGCTGAACCCATCTAGGGAGCAAGCATCTAATATTGATTGAAACCGACTTTACCATATCTTTTCTACCATCATATTTTTGTTGAGTAGTGTGGCCATAATAAATAATCTTCATTGAGTCACTACAGGTGATCAGCTCCCCACTTTAGTGATAACTGCAGAGCTTTGGTTACTAACAGATTTCACTTAACCCTAACTGGGGAAGAAATCAAAACTTTCTCAGGGGATGGGGGAGAAGAAACATATGAGGTCCACAAAGAAAGAAACAGATTGCCTTTTGATCACCAGCTGTTCTGAGAACACTTGAAAGGAA